TTTTTAAGATGTCTTGGGTCTATCTTGAAATCCACTAGTTTGAATGTGGTTTCCTACGATCTAAAATGAGTTCACTTTACTGTCAATTTCTAGAAATGAATTCAGGAAACCATTTTAAGCTTCCGAAATTTAAAATCTATGGAGTTACTGCTGGAAGAATACACCATTTTCACCTTTTAAGAAGATTCGGGTACATACAATGATCTGCAACTAGATCTTCTATATACATTCTTAAAAAATAATTTATTATGAAGCTGATTGTCTACAGATTCTCAATCAACTACGATTTTGTATACTAATAAGCCATAATCTCTCTTTTATCAAGTTTTTTATTTCACAAAACTACCCGTTAATATTCTAAAACGTTGTACTTGGCATGAAACGTGTTTTTACGAAACCATTATCACAAAACACATACATATATGATTTATTCACATAATTACTTTCGTGATGATTACATTTAAAGACTGGTTTAATTTATTCTGTTTACGTAAACCAATGGACACCTTTATTGTTAACATGTTATCTGTACTAACGTCATCTGCAGGATGATATCCAATATAGTTTGAGCGGTACCATGAATAATTTTGATTTCTATAGCAAGGTAAGTATTATGATATTTTTATTATGAGAAAAAACATTGGTCGAAGGAACTTTCCTCGCCCCACAAGTATAGTCATACAAGTCCTGTTTCTTTAAAAAACTTATAAAATTTGCCTTTGGGATGTTCGTTTTATAACCTCTATAAAGTAAAAACTAGTGACATAATTAGCACCCCCACAGTTCCTGCCCAGCGGGGTGCACATTTCTAAGATGGCAAGTGTGGACAATATAAAATTTATTTAAAACAAATAACCAACGGTAAAAATGTAGATATTTTCAATTTCTCCTTATATTTATTATTATACTTGACTTCAATTCCTTCGAAAGACTTAGGGCTGGTTGCATAAACGCAAATCAAATTTAATCTGTGATTAAGAACAATTGTAACTATGATAATAACAATCAGAGATTAAATTTGATTTGCGTTTATGCAACCGGTCCTTCGACTATTAGTATGTTCAGATCCCAATCACGAGCGGTTAAAAGATTTTTTTTTTTTGTTTTGTCTCTTCAATGCAGAAGAGAGGACTGATGAATTAATTAACCACACTCAGTTTTTTTTCCCAAAAACACCTATAAATTATGTGCAAGATTTCACAGCATTCGGTTTTTGCAATTTCAAAGTTAAATTGTAAAATGTTAGACAATTTTCGTTTTTTCCCAAAAATTTGGATGCCAAGAGTAAAATCTCCACACAGATTCATAACTCACATATACAAGAGCAAGTTATTTTATAAAATTTAAAGAACATTTTTTCAGCAGAATTGCAAAATGACGTCATCATTTTTTGGGGAGGCCATAAATGAATAAATTTTGATTAACGATGTATCATGCTTCCTATGACCTTCAAACGTTTGCGAAATTTCAGAACATTCGGTTTTGTAATTTCAAAATTAAATTGATAAATGGAAATCTTTCATTAACGATTTACCATGCTTATGATAACCTTAAAACGTTTGCAAGATTTCAGCGCATCCGGTTTTGTAGTTTTAAACTAAGTACTTACAAAATGTTATAATATAATTTTTTTTTTCAAAAATCTGAATGTCTAGAATACAACTTAATACGAATTCATAAACCATATGTGCAGGAGTATCTTATTTTATAAAATTTAAATAATATTTACTAATGTAAATTTTCCAAATTACACCATCCTATTGTTGATGGGAATGATCGTCCGATGAATTAGTTACAACACTTCCTTAGCTTACGCTCATGAAGTAAAAGCTGCAAAGAGAAATATGTAACAAAATATGTATGTTCACATATTCACATTTTTAAGATACCTGTTAGCCTGAGTTTTGTGTCGTCTAGAAAATGGACGAATTAGTGAGAAAAATGAATGGTTTCTAGGAAGGTAGATTATCTAGAATTGTAAAAGACCGTTGTAAGTATAAGGACAAATACAAAAACTAATAGTGTTACTGAGTGTTGCCCGAAAAATTTACAAACGGAAACGTTTCTAACAGATTTTTTGTCTTACCAGAAAAGTTTTGAAGTGGTTTTTCCAAATTTTAAGCAAATTTAGCCAACTACCTAAATTTGACATGACATAAAATCAACAAAAACAAGGTAAATAAATCATGATGATGACATGTAATTTTTACTATCAATGTTTAATAGAAACTATTTATCTTTTATAACTTTTCGAATATTTCATGCCAGTTGCGAAATTTGGTTTCCATAAATTTAAAATCGCATTTATTTTTGTCTAGGAAACTTTCCAAACTTCCAGCTCTAGTAACTGAGAAAGTATATACGAAATGTGTAGTTGAGAGGGTATAGAATTTGATTTTTTAGATAAGAATTATGCTTTTCAGGCTTTAAAGTAAATTCTCATGAAACGTATCTATCTGTTCTAAGATACTTTAAAATTTCGGTATGGGAGCAAAGCCTGTATATGTATAGTGTACCAACGAAAACAAAACAAAAATCATCTTAAACTACTATCGCTAAAAATAAGTCGGCCCTGTATAAGACAAAGCGTGCCAGCTGAATACAACAAAGTCCCACTATTTAATTTTGGTGTGGTGCCATAAATTAGCATCTAATAAGCTGCATTATTCGTTGACAAACATTTCACACTAGATTTCGTGGCACGCTATGCAGATTTGTATTATTGCAGGGTTTGAAACTGTGAAAATTTCAAACTCCATGGTACAAAGAGTTGAATTAGTGTAGATAATATTGGAAATATGAAATATTTCTATTTTGTTTGCATGTGAATGACCGTCGTAGACTAAAAAAGTCTGACTTTTAAGAAATTATTATAAAATAATATATTTACGAGTAACAAAGTAAAAATTAATTAGTCTAATATGTATATTAACTCATACCACGACAGTATAGATTTATGAGTCTGAAGACGCATTTTGTGTTTTTTATTTATAGCGGCAGACTAGTTATAAAATAACACATCATTTGTAATTTAAATGAACTTTAGACACTTTGGACACTAATTGTACATTTAAATGAATTCTGCAAACCTTTAACAGCACGCAAGTACTTCTCCCGTAAAGTTTAAGGTTAAAAGAACTAAAAATGAATAAACTGCTTCAAATATAGAACAGTAATTGTGTTTTAATTGTAAACAATGTCTGTTCTCGCCAAATGTAAACAGAAATTAATCGAATTTATTGAAAGTAACTACGTCAAGGCGTTTTCTATTTATTATAAACTTTCGTTCTTTGAACACATTTGCTACTCGTAAATTTTATTTTATTTATAAGGTTAATTTTGTCCATTGTGAAGTGACACAGACAAAACAAGTTTTTGTAATTTTTGTATTCATTTAGTTATTGACATAAAGCGAAATTCATATTTAAATATGCAATAAATGCATTCATGAATAATTCGAGCGTAATTTGGTGAATTATTTAATAATGAGTTGTTTTTAATAAAGTCCTTTTTTTCATGTCAGGTACATGTATTTACCTGACAAAAAATGTAAATACTCCAAAGTTAAAAAAAAATTACCTGTGTTCGATGCTTAGGGCTAAACTTCTGCAATACTATGATTAATAAGAAAAAAAAACTTTGAAAGTGTGAGAGTTCTAATATGGTTTGGATTCTTCTTCTTTGAAAAGCTAATATAAATGTATGAACGAAATTCACTTGATTTGTCTTTTAAAGTTTTGGGTAAATAATTGTATTTATATAATAAATAATATGTTTAATGCATACAAACACGGTTTTCAAAATAGAGCATATTTGTTTACATTTTTTGGTCAGCGATAGATAGGTCAAGGATATGTTTAATAGAATCATTTTCATTTGTGTTTACTTTCAACATGTAGCTCGTTTCTCGATTGTAAAAAAATGAGTATTCGATGGTCAAAATTTATTGTTTATTTCAGATAGTACGTGTCATAAAATATTAACAAAAGTTTATTTTAAAGTCCATTACTTAGTGACATCATCTCAAAAAATTAATAAAAAATGCTTGTTTAGATATACCCCTGATAAACTGTATTGGTTTTACATTAGTAATACGCTTTAATTTTTTGGTGCTTATATAGGATATTCTAAAAAAGTTTTATGTGAACAGATTAACTTTATTGATTATGTTAGAAAAGACTTATCTGATAGCCTTGAAATTCTAAGAATACCATTACATTATGGCAACTATATACAGTCTACATATTAAAAATGAGTATTTTTATATTTGTATCAAACAATTCATTTAAAAAAATGTTTTTTCTTATTATGGTATATACTTATTAACTTATTTTATTATGTTTCAGAGGCAAAACAATTTCTCTGTAAATAACTTAATAGTTACTTTCAATGCAAATGTTTTTAATTCTAAATTTTACTTACATACTTACAATCTAAATATTATTTGTTGCGGCATTTGTAACACACACTCTTGTTATTACCTAAAGTATAGAACCACGTATAGAGAAATAAATGTCAGTGAGGTTAAATTTTTTTAGACTGAAACTTTACAAATGTTTGGAAGAGTACCTACTCAAGGTTAATTATAATTCTGTAATAAATCATGTAGACAACGTAACTTTTATAGTCAAGGTTTATTTGTTATTTTGAAATGTGTTCTATAAAAAAAATATTAATTACTAAATGCGTTATCATCATGTCGTAAGTAACAAATATAGAATTTTTAAATAACTGCCTTGCTTGAAATTACTGTGGTTGTTTTTATATCAACCTAATAGTAAATTCATAGAAATACATTTTATAATAGCTGGTTGTCACCCGTTTGTTGCAGTAAAATAATTCATTGAAATTATTGCTGTGAACAGTCCGCATGTATAATTAATCATTTTTCATTGATTGAAACGTGGTGTACGTGTATTGTATAGAAACAGAAAAAATCTTGACAATGAATTAAAGTACAGTTTTCAAGACGAACAAAATATAACACTGTGTACTCTTACCGTGTATTGTTTTTTCACCCTTCGACACCACTTCACCTGCCTGATCTTTGGCAGTATCCACAAAGTTTTTTCCACTTTCCACAAGTGGACTGCTACTGGCACAACCCATGTTACTACTGTTTGTAACGACCGTATCGGTATAACTGACCACCGGTCATTACGTCCAGCACCCTTACCATAGGATTCAGTGGAAACACCCACGCACAGAAGCATTTGAAGTTGAAACTATATCGAACGGAATACATAACAAGTCAACTACCACAGTAATGTTGAAAGTGATGATTGCTACTACGATGTCTTTATTTTATATTCATAAGCGGTTTAGTTGAAATTTGAATCAATAATAAATGTTTATCGTAAGTATATGGATTATTTAGGTCAATAATCTTTCTGTTGTCCAACTACGCTATGAGTTATTGGAAAGTTTTTATGTATCCCATACTGGCCTCATTGTCTGGATTCGTTTTATTAACTGACCTGTCTTCTGTTAAAAAATGTATATCTCCTATTATCGGTATTCATAATTTTCATGAAAATGATTTATTAATTTATCGATAAAACCAGCCATGACCTCCAATCGCTTTATTGTGCTTACAAATCAAATTAAAGTCATGTGGTTTACTAAGAAGTTACTAATTTAAAACTTAATTGAATGAAACTGAACAATTTACAAACATTTCGAATAAGAGACTTCAACATTTTACAAAAGAAACAAATATTTCTACTGTTTAAGTAACTGTTTAGTACTTTTAGTAAAATTTTGTTTTAATCAAGAACGAAAAAAAAATAACAAAAAAACAACACATTTTTTATTTAAGATTTAACTGAAAACATCTATGAACTAAACTAGATGATAAAAATACCTAACCGATGTGATGTGAAATATCTTAGTATATTTAATAACAGGAAAAGTAATAACATAAGAAAAAATAAGAAAACTATTCAAGAGCAATAGAAGCCATGTTAAGAACCAAAAAAGTTCTTGCGTATAAATTATGTAAAATATGGAAAAATTTACTTGAATGTGTCTGTTTGTATCGATCTGGTAAAGCGTATATAAAAGTTGATTTCACAACTACGATTGGAAATAGATTTGAATTCAAACTAATATAAATGAACTTAATAAAAAACCATAAGTTTTTTTTTTGAAAATTTTAAAAATGTTATATGCCGCAAAGAAAAAACGATGGAATTACAGTGGGCTAGAATTTGTTTTGTCTCGAGTTTTCATTAACACTAAGTTTACGTTTTAGAACAACAGCAAATTGTTTTTGTAAGATTTTCTAAAATAATTACAAAAGTAAGAAAAAAAGTAGCTTACACTTACACATTACCAAAATAATGGAGATTTCATTTTTACAATTATCAATTCCAAAATAATGATGTAATAGAACATCCAAAATCTGTTTTTCTGCCAATTATACCAAGCAGATTTTGAATCAGTTCGTCAGTTGTATATTCATTATCATTATTTGCATTAAAAACTACTCCTTTAGTAATGATATTCAAAGTCAGTGCCCATCGATTAACATCAAAAGTTGGTGAGATCTAATTTCAAAACTTTCACGTCTTAAAAGAGTATGAAATATGAATTTTATTGGTACGTAATTCATTTTGCTGACACTTGCAAAAATTGGTTTACTCGCTGCAAAACAGTAAACAGTAAATTTTATTTAGATATATTTTTTTTATTGTTTTGTACAAATTTTACCTATGGTGTTATATAACATATTCTAATTAAGAAGAAAAATTTATCATCACAAAATATTAATACCGCATTTTTTTTTACTTTTTCAAAATAGATATAATTTAATAAAATCATTTAACATTGTTTTGCAAAAATCCAATATCCGATATATTGAAAACCGAGCGCGAAATGGGATAGGTACTGTTAAAGTAAGTATATAATCAAATAAAGTCACAAAATTAAAGGCAGTAAAAAAAATACATTGCAAACTTTGTCGACGACGGACATTTGGAAAATAAATTTGAATAAGTGAATTTTTGGCGTTCATCCTGTGAAAGTGTCAAAATGTGATGGTTTTCTGAGTTTTTAATTTTTAAATTGTTATGCTTCCAGAAAAACAATTCTTAATATTTTGTGATATAAAATTTTTCATAAAAGACTGTTACTTTTTTTATTCATCTTAATCACCACCAGAAAAAGTTATATATTGTATATAAAGGGATAAGACTGAAAGCAATTTTCGAAATCATTTACACTTTATTCATCAGTATTACGTACCACTAAGACACATAATAATACCTAAGTATGTACATTGGTAATGCTATCCCATCACGGTAAATTTTGGTGGCGGCGCCGGGCAGATCATTTTATTCTGATGTAAAAAGCAAAACAGTTTATAAGTAGATACCAAAATATAATTTTCCTTGAATGATATCAAATGTAAACTAAATAAATCAGATTTTGCAAGCATGACCTCGCTACTTTCAAAAATCTATTCTCTAAATTCTTATATAGTATATATTAAAATTCCAAGTCATTTCAACAGAAAAAAATAATCATTTTCTTTCAACAATATTAATGTTGCAAAGTAAAAACATTGCTGAAGAACTTTTCGGTTATTTACTCCCAACTTGGTTATGCCTTAGAGGAGACGAAAGTTTAATGTTTCGAGTGAAAAAAAAAATTTGTTTCCTTTAAGACATTAATGATGCAACCTAAAAACATTGTAGAAAAGAACCCTGTGGTTATTTATTCCCAACTCCGGCCCGTGGATCAGATGGTATCTTTCAATAAAGCTTTATTTAAAATTTAAATTTTACCACCTGGTTTTAGAACTTGACTGGTTTTGAAATTTTAAATATATGTTGTCCATAACTTTGTTCATATAACGGAAGGGTAATTTTGTTAAAAACAGTTGTGATCATATTTTTCTTTTAATTTTCGTGAGATTTTTGCATAACCTATTTTTAAAAATCAATATCCCAATTATTAAAGGAAATTTCAGAATACGGTTTTCAATACTGTTTTCAGCTTAGAAAACTCCAGAAATCGTACCAAATATATCACTGGATCTTAGTCCCAACAAATAAAGTCAGAAATAAACCTAGTACGATTTCTAAAGTTTTGCAAGCTGAAAACAGTGGTGACAACCCCCTTCCAAAATTTCCATAAATGGCTGAAATATAGATTTTTTAAAATACGCGGTGCAAAAATTTCAAGAAAATTTAAAAAATGTATGATAATAAATTGTTTAAAAAAAAACTGCCCTTACAGTTATGTAGTGAAAGTTGTGGACAAGTTAATAATGGAGATATTACATTCTGAAAATATATTGACAACAGCATAAGAGCCAAACGTAGCGACTCGTCTTAAATGAAGAGTTTTATATTTCATATACTACGCTGTCCTCTGTAAGCAAATATTAAAAAGATAGAAAAAAATTGAATCAGCGCCTGTGCATAAATTGCATGGAAAATTAATAGGAAATCTTCAAAGGAATCACAAAAAATAGCACGGTTTTTTGTTGGAAACATAGAAAGTAAAGAAGTTATTCCAAAAATGTTGATTTTCCGAATGATTTCTTTATAGTAGAGAAATTAAATAGCAAGAGAGACTTCCTTTCAATTACTGGAAAATCTTTCACAAAGTGAATATTGGCCTATTCGTTAGAGATTTCAATTTTTTGAAAGGACAGACGGAAAACTCATAAAAATATTATAAAGATTGTATATCAAAACGTCCAGGGCTTGGGTAAGGAGGGTTTGCAAATAGAATGCTTATGTTATCCTGTAGATATATAGGTTCCACGTAAACATTGGATGATTCATGTAGGATTCAGAGCTGCAATACTGATGACAAGTTGGTAAGTTCCTTTTGGCGTAAATATCGTGAACACGAAGAGATTGCTATTTAAATTAAGCAATATATCTGATACGAAATTTCTTCATTTGCAAAAAGTATGGCTCATGTAATTTTAAGTATTATTCTGTAGAACTGACTGATTGTGATATAATTATTTTAAAATTTTAAATACCTCCGTACACTGATAACATGAGGATGAATGTATTTTAACAGACTCGACTTGGTGTTGAGTTATTATTCTAAATTTAAATACTAATCATCAGAGGTAATACGATATTGTTTAGTATCCGATACACCTTATTACAATATTTCCTTAGCATATGTTCGGGAGGTAAAACTAATTGTGGACATTATAGCTTTTATCTGTTATATGGTAGTATGAAATATAATAGCTAAAGACGCACCCCCGCGGTCGGGTATATATTACCCCTATTATGATATTTTTTGTGGGACTTTTTGACAGTACAACAACGGAATCCTGCGATATAACCTTAGAGCTTGTAGACTACTATACTAACCTATTTATTCTATAACCGTAAAAATATGATTTAAAACATTATAACATAACCTTTGTACGCTGCGAACTAAATGTGAGCTCCAATATAGGTTAGGGACAAAGGATATTCAAAGCGAACGTTAATATTTGTGAAATTTCATTATTATTTAATGATATCTGTTATTGTTATACAAACTACATTTATTACTTGCTAACATATACAAAATATACAAGACATTAATATACACATATAAAAATATTTTGGGGCACTTTATACTTCAGTGTAGAGTGCAGTGTAGTTTTAATTGTGTCGCTATTACTGAATATATAAGATAAAGAAGATTACACAAGTTGTGTAGACACATGCAATAGTTGTAACGAAACTATTTTTACTGACCACTTTACCTAAAATGATTAAAAGATCTGATATGATACAAACATTTTTGATAATTATGTATGTATACGTAATATTAGTTGGATAAGTAATTAACCTTTCAAAAAAACAAAAATAAAATTCAAATAGATTATGTTGTTAAAAAGAATGTTTATAAATATTTGTTCATCAAGTTTATTTTAACTTTAAAATGAATATTAATTTTGTTATAGTTTCAAAATAATGAATTCGACACAATATTAAGAGGATACATTGGAGTTTTTCGAGAATCCAGATTAGTATGAAGTTCCAAAGGATTATAATATGAGTCACAGCTGAAACTGACTTTTAATATGTACTTTGCTCAAATCACACTATGTTTCGAGCTTAACAACATTTGATTTATTATTCAATTAACAAGAAAAACGCTTGTTTTTTTTACTTTTTTGTTTCAACACCCTGATTTCAGTAAGAAAAATTCTCGTCATCCCGAGGGTACTGTCTTACATAGATCATCCGAACAAAGTACAAAATACGCAGCCAGATAGAATGAACAAACATTTATAACTATTCGTTACATAAAAATTAAACAACTAATGTCACAATATACACCATTTATTAATTAACAATTTCTGAGTTTAATGTTCGTTTTTGTGCTTCAAGTAACATACAATAAAGAAAAATGCTATCGAATAAATGGAATTAGAGTTGACTCTGCTGTAACAACGGTTTAAATGTGTAGCTGACGCACCGCCAACTCTAATTTCCTTTTTTAATCTCAATTTACAGTGCCGTTATTTATCTAAACGTATTTTAATCCTATATCATTCGAATTTTTTTGTGAAATTGGCATGGATTGGTACTTTGAAAGTTATAGCAATACGTACATACATTGCTCATTAAAAATTCTGCGGCTGATTTTTTTTAATTGTTGTTTATTAGACTCTTGGCATTTTCCATTTTCGATAAAGTTACTTCATTCAATATATGTATATAAAAATACAAAACACTATAAACACTAATAAAACGTATTGTATTCAAACACCCTGCTTGAAATCAAATTTTTTAGTTCATTATAATATGAAAATGATATAGATATATCAAAAATCTCGCAGTCTCAATAAATATTTTTCTATAGATTTAGACTAAATAGATGGTTTGATAGGTGCAATATTCACTGTCATCGGTACTACTAAAAATGCTTGTAGTTGTCGCACATCCATTAAGAAAATACTAGTTAATTCTTATAAATACTCGTAAGTAAATTATTAATATAACTTTCCATTACACAGTTTTAAACTAAAACTCTTAATTTAACAATGTGCGTATTTGAAACTGGTAAGTATATCATTAAATAGACAACAAGTTTTCACAAACTAATAATAATTATTCACACGAATTTTTGTAATCATCGTCAATCTTCCGCTAATGTTTAAAACAACATCATGTTAAAAAAATGCAAAATATAATCACCAAAAAAAAAAGCTGCTAGTAATTTTTGTTGCTTCCGAAGAATCTGTATTTTCAAAAATTTATTGAATATGTACGAGTGTTAGGCTTTTATCTGTATACTGAATTTACTTCTAGCAAACATCACATTTTTTACATTTGTTACAAGCTTACTTTCCTTAGACTTTGACTTAGGATTTAAAAACTAAACATTCTGTCTCAATTGAGTTTCAAAACCTTTATATTTTCTCTTTAAATTAATTAAAAAACCGAATTTTGTTAACTTCCATTAACTTATCGTGTTAATGTAAGAAAAACTATACAATTTGTTTTATATTATTTACAATCTAGAAAACATTGTGTCTTGTTCTCCTTTGGCTCTCATTTTCTCTTTTTTTTTTAAGTAAAAAATAAAATTTTGTTAATGTCCTGCGATGACTAACACATTGTTAATTAGTGCCTTATCAAAAATCTGGTTTGTTAGATATTTATATTTGATTCTTTAAATTTATTTTTTATAATAATCTGCTTGTTTTACAATAAAAATTAGGAGAGATTATTTAACCACACGTGAAGGAAAATTTATATTATGCTGTAAGTTTCAACTTCTTAGTGGAGACAGATGTATCAATGTTTATATATAAGGTGTAACACTAAAAACAGCAAAAATTTTCTAGAATTTTCGGAAAATTAGGTGAGCTTTTTTTGAATTAATTAATAGAATATGTAGATTGCTCATTCGTTAATTTTTCAGATATGCTGCATAAACAACTCTAAAAGTAGAAATATATTACCAAAGCGCGAAAAGCTTTACCACTCGACGCCAGGCAGACAGAAAAGGGGACCGACAGTGTTCTCATTTTACAAGCTGTGAAACGTCGAGACAACATGACAAGCTTACGTAAAAAATACGGTTTCGGTGATTTCATTATAAGATTAGGTATTTTGTCAGCATTTTCCTGAATTTATATAATTTCTGTTGTACATAATGACAATTCTATGTGCAGATAGGTGAGAATTTTGTGTTATTCAGTTTTCTTTTATTTTTTAATTATTGCTTGACACTTTAAAATGGAAACTTATTTTTCCATCATCTACTTTTAAAGTGCACTTTATGTTTGTAATATCTCGTTATTATAGAAACATTTAATTTTTTTATACACATTGATATTGACATGATTAAAATAGTAACCAGTGTAGATTATTATTCATGTAATAAATATTAAATATAATACTATTACCGTAGATTCGTCTAAAATACATCACAATGTATTCTTGTGATGTTGTCGTGTTACAACACAACAACGTCATTACAAAAACTAGTTTTATCGCCAGTTTGCAACATTTTTAAACTAAAATCAAGAAATTGGCAAACGCACTCGCTAAAAAACCCAAACAATATTATTAGTCACAAACAACAAGAAATATATCATAGACTTATTTTAAATTCATATTAATTCTAATTTTAAAAATCAATTACGCAACAATGCAAATAATCTTCGTTTAACAAAATCGTTCCTTTAGTTTGTAATATACCAAAAATAAATCGTGATTTCTAAATGTGGTCGATTAATTCTGTGAAATAAAATCTTTTTTACAATTTATATTCTGTGAGCATAATTTTTCTTTCACTTTATGAGATATGACAATAATATCATTGTCTTTATAATTTGACCATATTTTATTTTTGGACGACAATTTGCATTTATTTTAATAAAAAAGTATAGTTTTTAAATAATTAATTTATATAAATATACTATAGTACCACATATCGATAACAAAGACAGTGCAAATAAAAGTTTAATTAAGTAAAAAAATATTAACTTGTGGTTAACTATTACTCCTAATACAAGTAATTTTTTACGTTTTTCCCACAACTATGACCGTGCACGGACGGCATCGCAATTTTTAAATTTAAATGATATTTTTTTAATACATAGTAACTTTTGTTCAGTACAAAATCTGTAGTAATTACATCAGCCTCAGCTACAAATTTCTTCAATTACATTATAAAAATATAACAGTAAAAGTTTAAGAACGATTTACATTCGTATGTTCAGATGTCAAAAGAATTCTTAACTGTGTATAAATTTCGTTTATACATTTTTTTCACAGTCAGATCTTAGTTGTATAATCATCAACATTAACGACAAATATATAAGTAAAAGTCATTAATTATGTTTATAAAAATGAACAACACCATGTACTTTACGAATGTCGGTGTCTGAACTAGAACCTCCTGGTTCCTGTTCTATGGAACCGTGTGTAGGTGAATAATGACGATGAGTCTTAGACATGGCACCCATCAGTCTTGAGTCTGAACTTATTGCTCGTTCTAATTTTCCGCGGTGATGAGGATAATCTCTTCTTTTGGTTCTAGATCGATGTGTAGAATCTGATGCATTAGAGCTACGTCTACGTGATATAGTGTATGGTACATGTAAAGGTAACTGATGAGTAGAACCGCCACTACCTGTGACAGAACATTATAAATAATTATCGTGGTTGTTTTTCGTTTTTAACTTACCACTTTTAAAATCTTTAAAATGTACAGGTATTCTAGGTGAACACGAATGTGAACTCCTTCGAGAACTATCATCATACGCATGACGTTCATCTTCATCTACACGTTTCTGTCGCATTAGGGGATTCCTACGACGGTCATGAATTCTTAATGTTACTGGACATTCCAGATGAAGATCTAGTGCTAACGAACCCTGACTTCCACTTCCTTGGAGGGACTCGTGACTTAATCTGATTAAAAAGTAACTCAAAATTAACAAACTGTTTTTTTCAAATCATTAAAATTAAACTAATCTTTATTAATATTGCATTTTTTTTCATACCTATAGCTAGCAGCAGCTGTTTCGTCCACGGATAGAGCGTGCCTGTGCAAAAGACTTGGATTTAGAAGAGCACAGTTGGCAAAGGTTCTCCTAGAAGACTTAGAAGTTGACTTATCTGTACCATATCTATTTAACACGGGTGAAGATCGTTCTTGACTATCTACACGATGTTCTAAAACTAAATTTGGAGCTGACGGACTTTTATTAATAGAACCCTAAAACATCTATTGACAGCAATTTTTTTTCACTATATTTTTGTAATACTTTTACCTGTGGCACTTTGAGCGAATTTCTGCATTGAGTTTTTAAAGAAAGGCCTCGAGAAAAGTTTAAGAAAGATTCTGTTAACGCTCTTCTGTCTGTGGTAGTTCTTCCATGTGTAAGGGAGGAAGACTGATGAACACTACCAGTCTGTGATCCCGAAGTTCTCAGTGAACCATGAGCACTGTAACCACCGTGCGTATGGCTGGTGTATCCTCCTCCATAAGAACCACCGCTGGGAGGACCATTTGTGCTCATTTTCAAACGTGCTGGAACGACTTTTGCAGCAGAATCTCGTGCTTCAAAAGTCATTACGCAAGCTGCTACTACAATAAAACCTACAAAAGAGAATTACAAATTTTACTACACTGCACCAGTTATGTTTCCCTTTAAATTATGAACGTTCTGCAAGTCGTAAAACGAATTACGACCTAAAATAGCACATACTTAAAGAAAGTATTGTAACAGAATTCATTTGAGGAATGATCAATTTCATATTTTTTCAACGTTTCGTACCAAATAGAAAACGCACTTGATCTGCTGTTTCGATCTGTCTGTTGTCTATCGTCTGTAAGGTGTGTCTGCAGTTTGTATGTCGTTTGTTGATCGACTTTATTAGACAAGTAATTTCCGAAACTATCTAACAGGTTGCTGTGAAATTTTAAAAGAATTTTAAGAAAACCATATATAATAAAACTAACCAAAATATATCTGTTTATGTACATCAAAAATGTGATGAAGTCATTTCATATCTTCAAAAAATCAAAATGAGGTAACAGAATTTGACAGTTGATTTCAAATAATCATATTTGAAATTTTAAGAATACCGTCTTTACATAATCCATTTTTTTGCAAGCTTTGTCAAATTAATTAATGAAACAGATTAATTAAATCAAAAATGGTTATCTCATTTGCTGAAATTCTAGTAACACAATGCTGTTATTATTAGTATTATGGTACAGTCTCTACAAAAAAGTTAATATCCGCATGATATGCTTCGTTATGTCTAGTTTAATAATCTGCTCGTTTTTTCATTATAACTTGCAGAGTTTATCATAATCATAACAAAGAAATTAAATATACTGGTTGCATTATTTAATAGTTGTGCTTTAGATAAGAGGAAAATTCTGTCGAATCAAATTTAGGCCAGTTGTCTTCAAGCAATATATTAAAAACTACTCCATTCCACCCACCTCTTTGATCAAAATTAGTTTATTACAGAGAAGAATATGCTATTTTTTTCTTAGGTTTCGTTAGTATAATTTAAACAAAAAATATCGTTCTAGTTAAGACAGAAAAGCACTTAAAGTACACAAGTTCGGTAATAAATGAAAAATGCAACAGTCAACTAAACCATGATCTGAATCAGAATCTGGAAACTGGCAATAAATATCACATTCCTTAAGATTTATGACGCAGCAGTTACACAAGTAGGCTACTACTTACTATTATTATATTATTATTTAGTGTAAAATCTTAAATCATAAACTTTAAAACAAACTTCTGACTAGTATGTGAGGACTTAGCTGATTTATCTCCGATCTTCTAGTAGAATAATTGCATCAAACAACCAATATCTAATGGAAATAAATTATTAAATAGAAGTAACAATAGTTTAAAATATTTACACGTTGTTTGTAAAAAATTGGGCTAAAGTTCTTTGTAAAGAACTTCTTTGGTTCCTGGAGTACAAAGAAACGAGTCTGGTGACTTCGGTAAATTATAAAATTTTATTCTCCAAATTGTCTTTATTTATTTATTTATTTTTATAATAACCCCTACTCTGCTTTATAAACATTTGAATACGTTATTAAACTGCAAGTTATAAAGGAGCACATCACCATAAATTTCAAGCGCCAATTACGTAACAAAATTTTGAAATGAAAGGAGTGAATAAGCAGATGAATTGTGTTTCGCAAACTACCAAATTTATTATAACATTAAAGCCTTTACAAATTTTCAGAACAATCGTACTACATGTTTCAATTATAGACCAGTTTTCAAATGTTCTTATATATATTTGATTCACGCAAAATAATATATCATGCATCAACTCTCTGAAGGAACTGAATAAATGAATTTTGTTCGAGAAAATTTCAAATAAACCCCTACTGGTTTGAAGACAATTTGTAGAATTTTATTTTACATTTTTTTTACGTGGGTTGGCAAATTTAGTGAGCGTGTTACAATCGACACCCAAATATGGGTAAATTAGTTTAGTTTATGTTCAAAATTTCTTACTACAGAAAAACATGTCAGTTATATGAAGTATAAAAATCAAAGAAAATACAGCGAAAACATATTCATTATTCCATAACGGGAACTGAAATATTTTTAAACTATGATGCAAACTATTGTCGCTTTGTCAACCAAATCAAAAATCAGAGCTACCTAGAAGTTATGCTATTTTTTTCCTAAAACTTATTGTTTGGTTCGTGGAGTCAATTATTTGCACTACAGTGGCCATATACTATTTAAATTTGTGATAAAACAAAATTTTATTTTAATTTATTTCTTAAACCATATTGTGTCCTTGAAATTAGATCTGGAAGAAGCTCTAAATATGTAGCCTCCATAGCTCAGGGGTTAGAGCACTGGTCTTGTAAACCAGGGGTCGAGAGTTCAAATCTCTCTGGGGGCAAAAGTTTTTTTTTAGATACAATCATGAAAACTAAATGGAAACAATGAGTCTAGTATATAATAATCAAAATTTAAAACCAAACTTAACAATTTTAATGAAACTGAGTATTTATACTTGCTAAATTTCTTTTATTACCTGTTAAGTTTATGGATTACATTATGATCACGAATATCGGTTAGGAATATACGATCCAACGCATTTTAAATGTTTAACTTATGATTCCGTATCTCACACACAGATATAAATTATAGCAAAAAGCATTAACATAACTTACCTCCCACGCCCATCACTATAGGACCGGCATATGAAAGATTATTGAGATGAAAACCTCTCGTTTCGTTTTTAATACGAACTGTATGGTTACCTCTAACTTCTTGAGCAATTGAAAGGTGATCAGCATAATACCCTTTAAAAAAGACATAATAAATTTAGTTAAATTACATTAGAAATAAATTTCTTTCGACATACGCTACAATACAAAATTTGGGTAATTCTTCAATTTTTTAAATTTATAAAATTAAAATGTAATCAATCAAAAATGTGATTGTTTGATAAGAAAATACTGTTGAATTATTTTACGTCAAATATTTTAAAAGAATTTGGGCAATCGCGTGACCAAAAATTTCTGAGAATAGCATTTTTTTAATCAATAACTCAGTGTCGTTTTTATACCATTATAACTTGAGGTCAGTAATCTGATTTGCATAATGAAGTGTAACGTCTAGGATTTAGTTGAGAGGTGTTGTTACACTCGCTCGTTTTGTTTTAAAAGCACTGCATGCGGCTCTATAAATATTGTATGCTGTAACAATGAATTTAATTACCTAATATTTTATTAAGAAGAAATCGACTTGGTAGCAATTTCTCTTCATTTAATAAATGGAATTGTTGATTTAAAGTTAGTTAGTAAAATACCTCAAACTAGTTAACGACTGTTACACTTTATTAACTTAAATCTGGAAACAATAACTAATCAAGACAACAGTTTTAATAAATGCTTAAGAACAATCTAACATTGTCGACTAATTATTCACATTAGTGAGCGACACAACTTGTCTTTGCGGACTTATTGAACAATAACTTTAACCGCGCTACATCGACTTTGTCTTTTATTTGATTTGAAACATTTAATTTATCAGTTTTTCCAATATTATGAATCCAATTCAAACAATCAAATAAACTGGAAAACAAACAAATTCGTAGATACCGGCGCGTAGGTATAGTCCACTTAAATATCGCCGTGATCAGGATACGTTATTGTAGTCCGAATTTTATTTTTTAACAATTTTCGGATTATTTAGGATAAAATAAAACGTATTACCACACACGTAATATTAATAGCAGCTTTTTACATTACTCACAAATTAAAAAAACATCACTCTTACAAATATGTATGTAAAAACGAATGTAAGAACCCTCTTAATATTACTACTTACATCGTAAATACCTGTTACTACAAGTACATATTTAACATTTAAAAACAAATATAACTAATTTCATTTATGTAAGTAAGAAATGCTTCATGTTATTATACGTATAAATATTTTTGACTTCAAAATTTCTGGCTAACTACATATTATAATTTGGTAACAAAATAATTTCAGTCGCTTATAGTAAAACTAGATATTAACACGTTGACCTGTTCGAATATTTTTGCGTCTACTTCTAGCTTGAATGAATTGTAATTGTGAATAAAATGAAACACTTGAAATTGACATTTTTTTTGCATTAGATGCCAGACAAACGATTGTCAATACCAATAGGACTACAAAAGTTATATCACATTTACTAATTTTAATAGTCAGCATTGACGCAAAAATTTTAATGTTGTCCCATAATTGATTGAAATTATTTCACAAGACACATTTTAAAGACTTAATTCTGTTTGTCCATTGTCATAGAATCTGCCCGTAAAGCAATAAAAGTTAATAGGTTACAGAGATCCTTATTACAAAAAGTGTACTTTTGTATGCCAGTAATTTATCGCTGTCGTAACAGTTTCCATGTGAAATTTAGACCAGTAAAGTAATGAACCTTATGACAGTTGTTCGTTTTGGTAGTACAACGACAATTTTGTATCATCGCATATACGAGTAAAACAAAAGCACAAATTATAAGTTATTTCCCAAAACAACTGAGACCAAACAAATTTTAAAAGTATAAATTTTTATCAAATTTTTAGTTTACGATCAGTCTTAAAATACCGCTCCTGTATTAAAAGGCTAAAATATACTTTCTACCTATCGTGGCCATTGCTGCTCCTAACACCATTAAAAGTAAGCCGAGACTAAGCGCTTTGCAAGCATTCCATAAACATTTCCCGTTCACTTTTCCTCTCACTACTTGTACGTTCCATTGTGCTCCGGATGCAGGATGTGCTCTGCGGACTACTTCTGAAGCACCACCTCGAGCCCAACCGGCTCCTAAAAATGCTCTCTGATGCATGTTCCAGTTTTTTTTTTTTTTTAACGGATGTTCAAATCTAGCACTGAATCACTGTAAATAAGAAAAATATTAAGTTACACACATAAATAATTTTGTTTAGAAATTGAACGGTTGGTAATGGAGCTACACAAAGATGTTGATATTTTAAATTATATTAATCTACAAAATTGCAGCTGTTTTTAAAACTCAAGACTGGTGTATTTCTTACACGATGGAAAATATCTAAGATTTCCCCGGTATATACGAAAGAAGGATGTAAAAACCAACTTGGTGAATTATGTACCTGACAATTCTCTGCGATTTTACAAAGGTACTGGAAGATGTTTTATATACAAGTTTTTCGAGTCATATTTGCCATCACAGTTCCACTAAAAGATGTTCCACCGAAACAAATATAATATCAATAATGCAATTTGTGTGTGATGATTTACATAATAATCGTCAGGTGTATGTCATTTGTGCGGATTTTTCTAACGCATTTGACAAAATTGATAAATAATTGATTGTTGAATAAATTTGAATGCTTTGGTTTTCATATAACTTAATAATATTAATGAAATCGTACTTAGATAACCGTATCCTGTGTGTAAAGTTTATTGGTTTTGAATCGAAAACTTGTACTCACGAAAGTAGAGTTCCTCAGGGTTCCAGACTGTTAATGTTTGCTATATTTATCAATAACATAGTTTCTTCAGTGGTGCATGCACAGTAACTTATCATTAAATAAAATAAATGCTACGTTATGTCATTTAACAAAAAATTTAGAGACATTCAATTTGATTATTTTATATACAACTTTTGAATATGCTTCTGTCGTTTGGTCACCACTGTATAATGTTCCTACTTCCATTCTTGAAAGACTTCAGGGCAGGTTTTTGGAACAGCTGTTTTTTTTAGTTGATGCAGTCTATCCACTAAAAGATTATCCACAAGATCTTTTGCTAAATAAATTTAAAATGTCTTCGTTATTTTCCAGACAAAATTAATATTTGGTAGGAGTATTATTTTTGTATAAAATGGACATGGACTTCAGGACTGCCCATATATTGTCTTTAACATCGGGTAAACAGAATTAACGCCGGTAACAAACATATTTTCCATATCACCACTTCTCGAACTGATATAGCAATTGGCTCACCACAGCAGAGATATAGTGTAATTATAGTGATATTAAGTTTGATATTAACATACAGGATCGCTAGGATGTATGGAAACGGTTAAATATATTGAGAACCAATTTACAAATCACCTGAAATTTGGTATAGGGGTACAAGAAGTTGTGCTCCAATTACACATTCGTGAAAAATTTTTTTTTTGCTATTTGGAATTCAACACCAACTTGTTTTTTTTTTAATGGCACTAAGTACCGCATAATGCATTTTTTTCTGAATTCACTGATATATCACAATCATACTTTCTTTGTAACAACCGAAACCAAAATTAAACTTCTCTTTTCTACAAAAGATGCTAAAAATGCTCGCCATTTAAAAAGAATTGTATTGAGTTAATAAGAATTTCTAGACGAATGCTAGCAATTCCGTTACGTGTCCGTTTCTGTAAGTCTTCAATGTGAATCGGTCTACTGATGTAAACGCTATTCTTTAAATAGCCCCACAAAAAAAGTCAAGCGGTGTCAAATCCGGTGACCTGGCAGGCCACTCAATAGTATCTCTTCGACCTATCCATCTGCCAGGAAAAGTTTCATTTAAGTAATGTCGCACTTGACGTCCAAAATGGGGCGGAGCACCGTCTTGTTGAAATCAAATAGTTTCTGCTGGTAACTCCGGATCTTGATAATTGGAAAACAATTCGCTAAGTCTAGCCACTATACGTTCCCGCAACAGTCTTAAGCATCCCTCAGAATTTAAATTCCCATTAATAAAAAAAATTATTAATTACATGGTAACCAATAATACCGCACCAAACATTCAGTTTTTCTGAACGCTGTGTGTGGATTTGCTCCATCCAGCATGAATTTGTGTCAGACCAGCAGTACCTACTGCTGTGTCTATTTACATGACCATTTAAACAAAACGTAGATTCGTCAGAAAACATAATCCTGTTGATAAAATTTCTGTCTTATCATATTCTGTTCATGATAATTTAGGTAAATTCAGCTGTACGATCAAAATCATCTTGGTTTAGCTCTTATACAAAATGTATTTTGTATGGATGAAACTTTTCCTTTTTCATTATTTTGAATTGATTTTCTACTAACATTCTTATTCAGCGGTAATTGTTGCACTGACGGTTTGGGACTTTCTGTTGCGTCTAAGAGGATATTAAAGGCATTTTCATCATTTGTAGCAGTTTTTGGCCTGCCAAGTTTTGAACATTCTTTAACACTTCAAATTTCATTAAATCTTCGTAGGATTTTTGAAACCGTCGACTTAGAACTACGTTTTCGCTCAGAATGAACTTCATTGAAAAGTGTTACTACTTGAGCAAAACTTCGTCTTTTGTAAACATAACCAATAATCATTAATAATTCTATGCGCTCAGTTTCACTTAGATGCATTTTTGCAAGAAACACCTTTGTCGAAGTTTGTATAAATGAATAAGACCAGCGAACAGTAAGATAAATATATTGCTAGTGACAAGTGTTAGGATAAATAAGAATGATAAGAATAGAATAGTATATGACCGTGCGGTCGAGATAGTTGAATGTTAGTTACGAATTGAGAATTGAGAATTGAATGTGTTTGAATGAGTTAAGAATTAAGAATGAATGCTACCCTGTGTTCCAAGGTGGGGGTGGCTCTGGCTCCCACCCTTACGGGTGGGGAGGGGTGAAACAGGTCCCCGCCAGAGGCTCTAACAACCTTAGATGTCAAATTAAAATTATTTTCAATTTTTTATTTATTCTTAATTAAAATAATTTATTTTGGGTTTCAATGACAAAGAAAGTATGATTGTGCTACATCAATGAATTAAGAACAAAACCTCTATTCAAAAATGCATTAATTATATGCTAATGCCATTTAAAAAATAATAATTTGGCCTTACATACATCTCGAGTACAAATGAACCAAAAAAAATTTTTGTACAATTTGTTCTCAAGATATTTAAACGCTTCAATTCATTCTAGCGATCCTGTATGTATGTATTTAATTGTACAACTCAAGTCATTAAAAACTACTACCAATTGTCAATACATCAATACAATAATCCTATTTATCTATCAGTATTTTTTTGTCCCTTTTTATTCAATATTTTTGTATACTTGTCCTGTAATTGGGGTTCTTACCCATTGTACATTGAAATAATTAATAAAGCAAAAAAGATGTCGGCGGGAGTATTCTCCATCACATACCGACAATAATTCCGGGATCTGGAAAAGTGTTTAGAAAATTATAACCCTCATAACATAACTGATTTATCAGTTTTCACTTCACTGTTTTTCACACTGATAACTTGCAAAGTTGCATTTATGAAATTAAATATTAGCGGTTGTGGTACTCGTACATATGTATTATATGCATTCTTTTTTAAAAGGCATTTTTGCTATTGCTGGTGGGAAGGATTTTAGTTTTTGTCGGCTCATTGTTATTTATTTTACACATCAGCACCACAGATGACTCACACTGGTTGTATTTCAGTACCACTATACACTATATACATAGTGACAGTCGAAAGCATGATAACTTTTTTACAAACTGATATCTACTGAAAAAAGTTACATCTTGAAAATTAATATGTTACTTTAATTTAAGTAACTATGGATGTTTATTTACATCTAGTTTACCCCAATTTTCTAAACTTTTTAATATGACGTCACCAAATTGTCAATAACGATTTACATATTAAGTTCCATATACACAATGCAACAAACACTGAGCCCAACTTTATTGCGTTTTTACAATTTTTGGGCAAACCGGATGAAGCATTTACCAAATTAATTAATGTAGCACATTAATGAAACATAAAATAAACTCTGTTTAATAATACCTCCTTAGCTTACGCTCAGGTGATGAAATTATGGTAAAAGTTTCATGTAAGGAATAGAAGAAAGAACTAAATAAGTTTAGATCAGGATGGTCATTATTAATAATAATAAAATTAATCTTTGGACACACAGTACACTTTTACACCAAACAATCATAGAATATTTAATATAGAACTCAGTTCTTTCTTTAACTTAAAAAATAGTTATCCTAAAACCTAAGGAGAATGTAAAAATAAACGTCCTTAATAGATCATTAAAACTTTTACTTCCTAAGCGTAAGCTTGTCTAGTAATAGGGTTTATTTTGAGGGTGGCTAGTTCTATGTAAATCTCCGATTTCCATCTGTCTGTCGTGCGTTGTCTGACTGCCATCTACCTGTTGGTGAAATTTTGGAAGCATTTAAGAATACCGTGTGGAAAAATCATAAGAGTTTAACCAGAATTTGTCGGATCATTCCCATAAAAAGTTTGATAACGTCGTCTCAATCAAAATTATACCAGGTATACTGTTTAAAATGTGCTAAATAACATGCATCTTCGATATATTAATTTATCTGCTTTTTTAACCTTATACGCAGGTAATTTGATAAGTTTTTCTTCTACGGTAGGCTGTAGAAGAAAAAATAATTAGAAAATCAAAATATTTTTTTATTCAACATAGTCCGCTTTCAAAGCTATACATTTGTTACAGCGATCCTGCAACTTTTCTAACCCTCTTAAAAAAAATATTCTTTCTGCTCTTCAAGCCAAGTCTGCACAACCTCTGTTATCTCATTGTTTGAAGAAAATGTATGCCCTTTTAAGTTTTTTTTTTTGAACTGAGGAAATGTACCTTTTTTCTGCGATAAATTTGGAACACCTGTAAAATATGCTCCTTTCTTTGTGGTTCAATAATATACCCATATTTTTAATGATAATATACGGATGAATCTATGAAGATTTTTTTTTTAATTTTTGAAAGATACTAATAATAATTTAATAGAATATAATACAAATAGAACGATCGTTAAAATATACAATTTTTTCATCCCTTCAGGACAGTTAAATACAAATCCTTATTTAACTTTCCTGAGGGGATGAAAAAAACTACTTCGAGACTTTGCTTGCACTTTGGTAATATATTTTTGTTTTTTAGAATGTGTAAAGATCATAATGAATAATTTAGGGCCTTCCCTCAAAATTATTTGTTTGTTTATGTTCATTTTTACGTCGTCTCATTATTTTCATTTAAACAGGAAATTTTAACAATTAAGAACAATTACATTTAAAAAAATCTTTCATAACCAGGACTTGTAGCTACATATGTACATATTTTTAAAACAGCATTAGATCACACAGAATATCATACACAATAAAAAAAGCAATGAAACTTTATCTCATGGCAGGTTTATGTAGGATGCAGAGTCAAAGTTGTTTATTTGTAAGCGGTTAATTTTGGAAAAGTCCAATTTTAAAATACTTTGTTTAAGCGGATTTAATTACGGAACAATAAATCTTTACAAGTCAAAGTCAGTATACTCCAAGCTTTTAAAAACAAAACCGCTGAACGATTTTTATTACCTACTAGTCTGTATCTTTCATTTACCGACAACGATAAGGAATGAAATTTGTAGTTACATCTAATTTTAAATTACACCGCAATTATAAATATTTACTCTCTGAATTATGCATTGAAATGAATGAGCGAGGGCGTGGTTGAGCGTGCCCAAAATATACGAGGGGTATTCAAAAAGACGGCTGGCAGTTACTTATATGTTCAAATTAATACAGATGACGACAAATCTACAAATCATCTCTACCATTATATTAAATTTGATAACTACATTTCTACATTTTTTGTGAAGATGATTTTGCTCAGTCGGAGATGTCTCATTTATGAAAAAATAGGTAACAGTTATTTTTTTTAATATTTATTTAGGCAAATTAACAAAATCAGCTTGCATTCGTCCATGTTCTAGAATTCTCCTGATACTAATAGAAACGTATGGAGTACACAAAAATAAAAAATGTCTCTGAAGCATGTTCATATGTGTTCTAAGTAGATTGTCCTGTTAATGAACTCTGTTGGGAAAATGTCTATTATTGTCTCATACAGCTGTCTTCGACGAAAAATTGAAAAGAATATAGCTTAAAAAAACTAAAAATCACGCTTTTTTTTTCTTTTTAGTCTTAAAATAACTTTAATAGTTTATTTTTTTGTTCCCACGAGTAGCGAACAATTTAACGGTAATGTCACACACGACTTTTGTCATTAAAGAGCAATCGGTTATGTAGTTTATGAGATAAACTGCAACATTTTCTGATAAAATTTTGAACGTACTTGCAGAAATTTAAAAATGTGGCTGGATTAATAAAACCATGTGTATAAATGTTAAAAATAATTTGCTTAACAGACTTTTGAGGTGACAATATGGTTATTTTGATGAACATGAACAAATAAATTTTTATTAGCGATTTATCAGGCTATTTTTGCAAAAATGTGCACCCGCAGGCCCATTTCAGGTAAAATTTACCTAACAAAATTAACATAACGCAAACTAGATTTTGTTATCACGATAAATAATTTTATAGAAAAATTTTAATTCAATGTACCTACATGTAATTAACATCCAACTTCCATTTTATTTAATAGATCAATAAGTTAACTTGCTCTTTGATGTTTTCATTCAGTTCTAAGTATATATTTTATCTTCCCACATGGAAATGAAATGATTCATTTAAAAAAAATCAAAATCAATAACTCTTCAATTTATGGATACCTACACATATTTATCTGATTTTGTAAGTGATTTCTCTGTTTCTTTAATTAATTGATAATTGCGGATATAAATTATTTCTGTGGGGTGTCACTTGCAGGCAAAATTCTAATAAATCGATGAAATACTGAATACATAAATTATTGAGGTTTGATTTCAGCTACAATGAAAAATAGTACCGATTAACATCTGGTGCCAAAACATTTATATTCAGGAAAAATAAATGTTGGAAATTAATTGCCACAAATCTGCGAGGATACTATAACGAAACGTTATCCGCATTAGAATTGAATATTTAATCCGGCTAAACAATATATCACGTACAACCGTCAGCGTTGTGTAAAGAAGTGGATAATCACAACATAAAACTTCCGACCCTCAATATGGAGATCATCCCATTCTTTGTGCTCTTTGAGGTGCAATAAATCTGTTAATTAATGACACATTTAACACCTACCAACCCTTGATTTTGGAAAAAGCGGATAAATTTCCCTAAGCAATGAATTTTTCATTAAGATTAATGATAATTAATTAAGATTGATGTTAATTTTATTTGTTGATGGTCATTCCATAAGAATTTTTGAGGCATTAAATACATTTTTGAATATTTTTTTTGCCAGAACATCATAAATTTGTTGTTGGGAATAAGAAATAATATTCTGCTATGTAATGTAACACTAACGTTTGTACCTTCTTGTAGTTTCAACAAAATTAAACACTGCCCCTGAGATAATCGATAACATAAATCATTTGCAATCTATGTTCTTATTTCTTTAAGTATCTACATAAGCATACTAAAAATAAAGATTAAATGTAGCATTCCAAACAGAGCCCTGGAAAGGAAATTTTTCGGTAAAATTTGTTTTAATATTTTTTAAATTCAGTCCGGTAGGGACAAATATACTAGTTTTAATACATTATTTTATTGATTAATTAAAACGGAACCATATACGCTAAATTTCACGATGACTCTTTAAAATAAGTAGTAACAGGTATCTGCAGTTTGGAATTCTTGAGTGTAGAATCGAAAATCATACACAGGATTTGCTTTACAGTTGTATATAATAAGAATCTAAGAAACAAAAAAACTGTGACACAGTAGCAGGAATATGACATATACTCCACAAGAAGCTTGATATTCTTTAATATCAAGCGTTTTCTACTCGACATTATAAGACCAATCTCTATCTAAATCAACATCATTTCTAACTAACATATCTGAGAAATTTACTTAAAACTTAGTTTCGAATTACTATCGTATATTTTCATAGCAAGAACAACATAGCAATACACCCGTCAATAAAATATTTATTTAGTTGCTTCTGCAAACTTAATCATTTACTTGTAATAATGTATTTATCATATTACTGTCAGTTTATTCATATAGAAAATTGTATTAGTCTTAAAATATTGTTTTTTCTGACTATGTTATATTGATTGTAAGTATAAAAAAGCAATAACCCATCCTTTGCTTAAAATAGATAACATGCTCAAATCCAAAAAAAAATCAAACTAATGTAATCATTTTATTAGTTCTACAAAGTAAAAGACGATAATATTGACACATTATTATACACTTTTCACGCAACTTAGTTAAGAATAACCTTACAGTATACATATGTCAGTTTCATGTACCAAAAAACATTTCAGGATACGGTATTTTTAACACGTGCTTTGAGAAGGATGCCCATTATTTGTAATTATTTATACCTTCACAGTGTTTCAGTTTAAATTAAACAACTATTTGTAATTTTTATGTTATAACATGAAGTTAGAAAAAAAACCCGTTGTGGCAATTATTTGCATATGCATCAGGCAACATGAAAGCCAAAGCAGGTGTCCCGCCTTGCTACTTCCGACGTACATAAAGAACAAAATAAAACGTTAAGAAAATCAGAATGCATTTTGCTATCCACACAAAGAGAGAAAGATATCAACATGTGGTAAATCCAAATTTAACGGCATATAGAAATGGGATATGGCAGTTAGGGTTGAAAGTGATATAGTGGTTATCGCCATATGAACTGCCGTCTCCATTTTTTTTATGTTTTAAGTCCTATCAGCTTCTGTTCATAAACTATAAACACTGGCCAATGTGTATCTTACATATTTTTTTCATGACGTATAATCTTTTTAATTTGTGCAATATTCTTAGTTTGAGAAATAATTACACATTATTATTAATATTATTATTGCTATTAAAATCAGCTAATAAGTACGACCCCACTGTGGGTGGTAGTGACAACAAAGGTTTTGTCAGGATCAAAATTCAAGATGATTTTGCGATAGCGTTATAGCAGACCCTTTAATCGAAACAGAGCACTTTCTGAAAATTTTAAAAATAAATATGTACACACATATCCGCTAATTTATCATAAAGACCAAGTCGTTAAAAATGCTGACAAAAAAATATAAAACGACAACTATATCTTCAGATTTAATTAAAATAAACAGGATTTTGTTTATTTAAGAAATGGGTTAAATGTTTGAAGTCGATTTCACATGAAACTTCAGTTTTGATACTTTACTGGAGTCTGTCTTCCTGTTCGTGAGATAAACATATAATTAGCTATGCAAATATTTACCAAGAGAAATTAACTGTATTAACATAAACCCAACCGAGAAGCCTTCTTAACACGAACTTTATAAGCACCTTCCCTAACTGACGGCATCATCACTTATTCGTTGCGCATGATTTTATGAGCAAATTTATTGAATGACTAAACAGCTCTCCACAAAGTAATTGTTACGACCTGCCTTCTTTTCCTTTGAATTTGGGTTAGCACTTACAGGACGAGGATCCTCTGTTTGTATAGAGATATAAGGTTTGAGAAGAAAACACGGACAAAGCAAAGAACGATAATTTGAATTCGTTCGAAAAATGTGCCCCCCATCCAAAGTTGGCAGATCAGTGCACCCTCAGCCGGCTCACGCAAAGATTAAAAATGCCATTACCTGGAGTGGTGAACCGGAGAGACTTATGCCAGTCCGCAGTCTCCCGCCCTCCTCTCGCACCACATCACTACACTAATTACCCCCTAATCGCTAGTATGTGTACGATAATGAGGTCGGTATCCGCTCAGCATCCCCGTGGACCATCGCGGGCAACAGGTACAACCATGCGCGAGTCCAGCGTGCGACCTTATCGACCGCACCTCCAGCAATCCGCGCCTTCAAAGGCCGAAGACCACTCATCCAAGGGCCAATTTCCCGGCACAATCACCGCATTTGAATTGTTTATGAGCGCAATTTCGCCTTTCAGCCGCTGATGACACTCACCGCCGGAAAGGGCCCAATGGCGGGCGGCGCTTCCGGTCAGCGAGAAGAGCGTCTGCTGCCGTTTGGGCACCTGGACCACAATGCTTGACGACGCGCAAACGACGCCAATCTGGTACATCGCTTGCGCCGCGACGCTGTCATGGTAACAGGAACAGCATCTCCAGGCACTCCACAGTCGGTGCAGGTAGCACGAGGTGATCAATGCAGCAGCCGTGATGCATAGGCCCCATGGTCAACAGAGGCCACGGGACCGAGCCGGACCCGTGGATGCTAGACCCGGAACTCCGATACCATATCCAGAACTGCCCGTGTCCTTGTAACCACATGGGATATGGCAATTTCTTAGATTACCAGGTAAAATTTCTCTTGTAAACAAACTTCTGGTAGTGGTAAATTTGTTTTTTTACGATGTAACAGCATCGAACAGGGTTGAATGATGTCACGTGACCTTCTTTTTTAAGTTTGCTTTTGTACTGCAAATTAAGTTCTTCTCTTTGTCTTCTGCGTTTTAACAAGCATCAATAAGAGCCGGAATAATAACTAATAGAAATGTTATTTGACAACACAGATTTTTATAGCACATTATCGCTGTTTATTTCTTCTAATGCAGTAAAATCGCTCTAAAAAGAAATAAAGTGCATTTCATACTGAATTATACTCATTTCTGTTTCAAACGGAACTTTTCAATCGAAACAGCCAGTAAATGTAAAATATTTCTTCGATATCCTAATAAATTTATTATCACCAATTAATAATTGTTAAAGGAAACCCTTAGAGCGCGTAGTTTTTTCTCTGGCTATGACATCCTTCGTTTCGCGTGTTCCTAATCCTTAAGTAAATAAATATGGATGTTTATTTTGAATTTCTCGTTAACGACTTCTCTAAAGCCAAAACTCGTTCTGGAGTTAATTCCCTTTTCCAACCCTAAATTGTGATGTACCGTAAGAAAATATATAGTCACAACAAAACTTTAACCAAGAATGCTTTAACAATAATACGTCTTCGACAAATATTTTCACTATCCAAGTAAGTTATCAGGCATTTTTAGAATTCGCGCAAATTTTGTTGGCGTAGTTTTTAACTATAAAAACTTTAAGCTGGTCAGTATAAAATTAGATTTATCAAAAAATAATTATTTTTCCAATTTCTACTCATAAAATGTTCATTTTGTACGTTAAATATCGCTATTAAAACAATAGTTTAATCGAAAGGATGAATAAAATGTTTATTGCAACACTTTATTCACACTGTCATTGACAACACGAATAAAGTAAAAAAACTAAAAATTCGCACTACCACTGAAATTTTCGTTGCTATGGATGCGTAGATATTCAACTAAAATTTGCACCTCCTGTAAAACAATCTTAATGAAAGTCCAGGAACGTCCTTTGAATTTGACCGTGACGAAAGTACAGCCAGCTTAGGCAATTTACCTTCTTTAAATGTTCATCATATTAGTAATAGCACAATTAATATTTATGTATGGATTACCTAAACAATAAATTTTTTGAAAAATTTTGCGAAATTGGAAAAAATCTTGCATGATACACGTGAATAAACGAATTTTATCCACTCGAAAACAGTATCACACTCGGCTTCGCCTCGTGTGCTAAACTGTTTTTTCGTTGGATAAAATTCACTTTTATTCAGTTATACCATAAATAGCTATTATGCATAAAATAGTAAACATAATATTTGAATCCTGAAAGTTGTTCATCATATTACTTGAGTACACGCATAAAACAATAACATGTTGCATTGGACAATATGGTTGGGGCATCAGCAGTGTTATCACTACACTTATGTCCCAATTTTATTACTGAGACTCCGACCTTTCTCTTTGCTCTTGTATCAATTTATCAGCCCTGGCCTGGGTAAAATTCTAGATCTTTCACTTTTCGGTAAGTTTATGTATGTGCTTGTTTGTACTCAGATATAGTTCGATAAACAGGTCTCCACGAAATATTTTGATTTTCAAAAATACTAACTATTTCAGACTTATAGGTATCCGCCCAACTACGTTGTAAATATTTCTGTAGACATTTAATTTGTAAGACATTTCGGTTCAACCAATTTCATAAACTAAACTGTCAGTGTAACTGCAAGCTGTTGAAGAATTTTTGTTTCCAAACCCTCTTCAAATTTTATATCACGCATTTTACCTACTTCGAATTTTGTGCCAAAACTTTTGAAACATACGTACGTTAGTGCCAAACCAGTTTTAGAATAAATTCTCAAGTCATTGTTACCATATTTTACAAAAATTCTCGAAAACTTCTTTTAATCTGATATAACCTCACACAGTCTTCCTCATTTTTTCAGATGGAAAGTCTATTTTGTTAATGTTAGAAAGTATCTAACTTTGTTTGTTTTGTACCTACAACTTTTTTATGCCAAAAGCGAATTTTCTGACAACAAATATGCCGGAATTCTAAAAAACAAACTTGAATTATTTCGTAAGAGTTGCTAGCCACAAGTAAAAAACTGTCAAATGAATAACATCAGTTTTGCACTGTATTATCGAATACATTTAAAATTCTTTATTGATTTTCATTTCAGACTTGCCTCAAGTATAACATTATTTTTACGGTGTATCTTTCATAAATTACTCACATCTCCAAGAGGAAAACTTGTATTGTATTTTGAACGTTTTATATTATTTTTGAGACACTGTCGTAAATACATTTTATAAATTCAATTATCATATTCCTTCTCCGTACTTTTTATAAATTAAAAAACGAAATATTTTTATTCGTGAAACCATGAAATATGTATTTTCACTTTGTTTGCTTAACCTAATAAGCTGCAGATACTCTTAAATGTTACACAACACAAAGTCACTAAATAAATTTCAGATTTTTGACCATTAACAATAAATTTTAAAAGTATACAATATAATATTGAAGTGTAATAATTATCCAGCCGAACTTAGTCAAATTTTAAAATTTAGTTGAAATATTGAATTATCGTTATCGTTATCTAAGTTGTTGTTGCGGTGCCGTCGTCTAAATCGTTCTAAGAAATCGAACAAATCTATAATGTTCCGCATAACGATATAATAATGTTGGTATTAAAATGCGATAAGGACAAAAATTAATGAAAAAAAATTAACCAGGTTTTTAATGCAGTTCCCGAAGATGCAATAACGACCTAATTACGGAACTCATTTTTCTCACACATTCGGTGTTAGATCTTTTGTTACGGGCCTCAAGGAACTGTATTAGGTAGGACAAAATATCCTAAATCAGATCAAGAGAGCAATTTAACAATTCGATACAAGTAATCTCTATAATACTAAAAATGTTCATTTTATTATAAACTCAAAATGTTCTTGCACCTATTTTTTTTTTTTTGTAGATATGGCAGTAAAACTGGGTAAAATACTTGAAAATTAGATATTGAATGTTGCTTACTTCTGTCCTATTTTAGTCATACCCACGTACTTTTGATTAAAAATGTTATATCTTACTATTCAGAACATAAATACTTCTTTAGCTCTTATCTGTACTGTTTACCGATAAATAAATTTTGTGTAGTGACATTTATTGAAACCAGCAAACCACTGTAAGTGAATTGCTGCAAACGAATGCTGAGCCCAATGAACACAGTCAAACATTCCTGAAAGAAACCCTTTCATCCTTCTATTCTATATAATGATATCGTTAACGAAGGACAGCCAGAACAAAAAATGTTTATTATGTTGATATTATCATTCGAATGAGACAGGAAAATACCTACAAGAAGTATATAATATCATTACCTTATAATGAATGACATAGTCGGACTCTGTTTCTTTAATCATCTCAATTAAATTATTGAATAATTTAAAAACGTACTGATTGTTGAACATGTCAAAAACTCCAGTCGGGTTTCTGTTTTTGATCATAGGGAATTTAATGCCATTTTATTACCCTTCAGATTTATATGTTGTTTTTCCTTGCCAATATCTCATTTAGTATGTTGAATCGTTAATTTACAAATTTTTTGACAACACATAATTTACTATACACAGTTGATTTTCTTTGATAAATTGACTGTGCTGTCTTTGCCATTTCTACTGAAACGCTATCTGTTAATTTTGATTAAAATTTAGCCATTTGTAACAGCTTTCGCTTAATTGACAACGTCTTTTAATTAGAAAATTAATGTTGATGTAATTTATTACAAAGATTGACCAGTTATTAAACTTTGAAATAAATTTACATGTAGATCTCAAATGAGTTTAATTCATTTTTAACTAAATATTCGTGTAAGCATATATTTAAAATTCAAGGGAGAAACAAATTAAGATTTAGGTTCACGTAATCACATTATTATGACAGCGGGTTTTATTAAAAAACAAAATTAAAATTTAACTATGTTATTAAAGCACGATGTCGCTTGAATATAAAATGAATTAAAGACGGCATTTCGAAATTAATTACACTATAATATTTAAAATTCTTAAGATTTCTGTAGAAAAGCATAAAATATTTAATGAAAATAAAATTATGTATAAGTGAATATATATATATTTATTTATTTGTTTGTTTTACAAAATTAAAAGTATCAAACTATTTTGTTCTTGCCACTTTATTTGAGGGCATTTTTTTCTTCTTTTTTTAAGGAAAGTAATAGCATTTGGCATAACACAACGTAAGTCATTATTCATTTTTAAGAATGCTAATAACACAGGCCTGCGAAATATAACTTTTAATTTCCCTTTTAAATAATATTGTTTTTTTTTTATATACTTATGTATGCCGAATTAAAATATAACTCTAGTTTTTTTGTAGCACATCGAGATTTATTTTTATGTAGGCCTAAATATTCATAGTTTTTCAAACAATTTTTATGAAAAAATAAAATATAAAGAATATACAATTGAATGTTTATTTATTAAATGAACTAAATTAGTTATAGACAAGACTTAAAAAAACAAATAAATCGAAAAGCTTCTTTTTTTCTTTCTTCAAAGCTATGATTTAAGCGTTTTCTCTTGTATTCACGATAGGATATGTTATTGCTGTTACATTTTTCGCATTAAGTATATCTTTTTATATTTGAACAGCAAAAGTAACAATCGTCTGTATGATTTTGTGGCTCCATCCAAACCATTGGTGTCAGCAAACTTAAAGATTTTTTTTCCTATTGACCATTTGCGAGGTGCATGAACACATTTTATGAGGCACCCATTTTTTGTCTTGCTTTTTTATATTAACTTTAAAATAACTTTCGCATAGTTGTTGGATAAATTCAGAAATTATTTGTTGTTGTTTTTGGATTAAATAAGTTCTACAAATGTAACAGAAGTTATCTGAAGAATTAACAACCCATTTCCTAGAAGACATTAGTAATTTTTGTTTAAATTCAGG